TTCTGGATTGGAAAAAGTGACATGTATTTCCTAAAGCCTATAAATTAGCATTATATATATACAATATATTGTCAGAAAACATACTCATCATTTTTTTTATAAATCAAGTAAGTGGATTTATCATCACATACCTTCACCAGTATGTCCTTGACAACCTGATTACTATCATTGTGCACACTAATATAGCTGGAAAACGTCTCGCCCAGAAATATGTTTCTGCAGTTCAGGAAAAAAAAATACTTTTAGTAACAGTTACTAAAAAACCAGAACATGTCACTGAAACATCTTTTAGTTCTAATTTAAAAAATATATACACACACATGTGTTTGCCGGATTAAATCCTAGAAGAATATTGGCATTTTCATGCCCATACTTCTGAAGTCATCCTTTTAAGAAAAACAGCTTCAAAAGAGAGCAAACAAATCAGACTTTTTTTCCAGTTCAATATCTGAGATGAATAAGAAGATGGCTTCCAGTACCCAAAGCATCACGGTAGTAAACTCTGTTAATATAAGATGGGGTTTATAGCAGAGCATTACACTAGTCATTCACGCACAGCTGTAAATCTCTTCCAACTTTCAATGCTTATTAAATTCAGTCATGCTACAGAAAAGAAACATTGGGTAGCACACACACACACACACACACACATATATATATAGATTTAGATTTATAAATCAAACCACAGGTTATTTTTAAAATGACTGAAAATCTCATTGCATGACAATGGTGTTCAAATAGAAAGAGAAGTAATAAACACATTATTATTAAATGAATCCTAAACCTTGCATGTTACAGTTACAATAATTCCTTCTTACCCAAAATTTTGAGGCAGAGTCAGCATTTCTCCTAACATCAAAGTTTCTGCACCCTTTACAGTAGAAGGATCATCTTTCATGAGTTGATTAAAGAGATTACCTGTAGAAATATCAAGTTACTATTAATTACATATTTGCTAAGTCTAAAGGTTTGTCTACATTTAAGTTATACACTTAATCACTTAGATGTAGTTTATTTTTAGATACATTTATTTTACAATAAACTTATTTAGGGGGGAAATACATATCCATAGGCCTGCCTTTAAATTATAATTTAACTCCCATGAGCTTGTATCCAATAATTTATTCAGTATACATACTGAAGGGTACAATCCCAACCAAAGGCATAGCTCAAATTAACATTGAATTTTAAGGGAAATTCTACCCAAGTAAAGCACAGTACATAACAGAACTAATTAACCTCACTTATTTTCTTCCCCTGCTTGGTTTGTATTTCCACACAATCCTCTTTCTTGAATCTTCCCTTTGACTCTTATACTTGACTTCTAGACTTCAACTATTTCTGTGGGACAACCCAGGGATTTCCAATTTATGAAGGCACACTAAGCATAAAACAATTCAAAACCAGTCTTGCAAAATTGTTTTCCATAGAACATTCACATGTTGGTTCTAATTACCAGGGCCTTTTCTCCAGATACAAAAAGACAGTAATGACAAGCTTTCTCCACCTACACATTTCTCTCACAGAACTGCCTTCAATTTTGTGTTAATTGCTCAGACTTTGAGATCATCCATTTGAGTATCATCACTAAGCTTTCAAAGCTGTAGGTCAAGAGCTGTAGAGTGCACCTTGGTACCTTCCTTCAATTATTACCAAATCTAAAATATACTGCTGTTTCAGAGTTCCCCCTCTAGGGGAGGTCATAAGAATCCTCTAATATCTTAGATGGTCACATTGCTTAAGCCTGGTAAGACATACATAACAATTAGTCAGTAGAAAAGATTTACCTGGCAAATCTCTTTCTTCACAAGTCACCGGAATATTAGTGAATAAAGTAGGTTTGGTTAGCCTCATCACTGCAAAAATCAGAAAATAAACCACAGGTCAATTAAACAAATATTTTTAAATGTTTTTTTAAAGTATAATTTTGTCTTGCTCTCCTTCCACCAAAAAGCCCCAACAAACCACAACCACCAAATAATCTTAGACTGAAAAAGGGTAACACCTTCTTCGATCACCTGGCCTTTCACAATATAAAAAAATTCCCTGCTCTTCTGAGATCCAATACTGGTAATGGCATTGCTCCCTCCTCCTTTGTTCCCTTGGTGCACTGACACCTACTGCTTTCAATTTTATGTGCTAAACGTCTTATACCTGTTACTGCGTTAAGGGCTTTGTGGTCTTCAGAAGTGTACCAGTTTAATTTTTTTGTGGGCTTCTTCAGTTAAGCACCTGTCCTGTAATCCTCGTTGCTCTAGAATGGGACAAGATGGCTAAGACAGACCCTTTCAGTCAAACACCAGTCTATAAGGAATTGCATTTACACCCTAATCTATAACACATACACAAGGCAGAGTTACAAGTCTAAAGGCCTACATTATTTATATATCTGCTTTTTCTTTAAGCCACAACCTTTAAACTCAAGCCAGCAAAACCAGCACAAAAACCTGAGGAACAACGTAACCATTTTATTGATACTGACAAAATCAAAATCATTGAGATTTTGCTACTTAAAAAACTATACTTCAAGAAAGTGGTATTTTCAAAGTCTATTTTAACTCATACTCAAAATTACACTATTTTTACTTATATAACAGATTTAAGATGCTACTTTTTAAACGAATTCTTCCCTATTTACATTAACCATGGCCCTAATCTTGTATATAGCTTATCATGAAATCATTCACATGAAACAAAATCGAGCATTTGTAACCTTAGGTGTTGATCTGAATATGTAAAAATCATTGGGTTTTTTTCTTGGAAACTTAATAAACATAAAACCAACTAAAACTAAAAAATAAACCAAAAGGATTTCTCTTGACTGCAACAAGTTAATCAACATCCTTGCACTCATACATGTATTGCGGCTTTACTTTTATTGCACTTTTCTACAATTTATATATCCAGATAGCATTCACTGTTTCCAGTGGTGTAAAGTATTCAATTACTTCGATATACATTTGAGTACAATGGGCTGTGTTGGTTCACAAGAACTTAGACTACCATACAGCAGACCTATGCAAGTTAGCATCGACACAAACAATTCTCACTTTTCACATAAAAAGGTAACATTTTCTCCTTGTTATGGTGAAAAGTGGAAAAATATGACTTCTGAAGGTTTAAAACCATGAGGCATATTAAAAAGATATATAAAACAGAGTAAATGGAAAAGCACATTCAACATTGAAAACGAAAAACATAAAAAACACTGAATTGTACGTGCATATGAACTAAGCATTTCTTGAACAGAACAAAATGAAAGCCTGGATTTCAGCTGGTACACTGGTGCTACTCAAGACTGTAATAATTCTGTAGAGCAGCCTCAGGTGGTGTTCGCTCTTTACATGACAGTTACCCAGCTCAGGTGCTCATAGCTAGAAGAGCATCTATCATTATTCACATATAAGCCAACCCAAAGCAGCAGAAAGGTGACAGCCGCAGTGACAGTGATCCCTCCTTCTGTTTAGTAAGATGCTTATTTAGCTCTTTCGCCAGTATATCAAATAAATATAGTGGGACTGTATTATTGGCATGATTTAATTTTATTCAAATTTACACTAAGCCTGTATAAACTAGTAGTTGCTGACTATTTCTAAAGAAAGTTTAGTCATGTTTCAGGCAATAAATAAATACATCACAGAATGAAGTCAAAACAGAGAAAAACTACTATATTATTTTATTTAATAAGACTACCAAATTAATATTAGAAAATACAGTATCTTTGCAGGACAAGGTCTCAGCACTTTTCTTCTAAGATCCCAGACACAAAATACAACATCAAATAAAATTCAAATCAGATTGTATTCTCCTTCATTATATTTTCAAAAATGCTGATACACAAAGAAACGTTGCTACTATTAATGTTAAATTCAGAAATATAATTTCAGTGAAATAATTTGGCTGTAGAAGCTACAAAACCAATAATGACCTGCAGTTACACTGGAGAGCATTTTGCACTAATTTTGCTAAGTGGTCATATTAAATGGCACAAACATCCCAAATGTCAATATAAGACCCCCTTAAAATTGTCAGAGTTCAAAAATACATGCCAATCACCCAAACTGAGCAATATCTTTAATTTTAATATTTAAAAAAATGCAATGCCTATAATAAAATATAATTATTCAACATAAGGATGTCATAAAAAATGTAAGTAAAAGTCCAAGGGGAGTTTACTTATTTTTACAGAGAGGGATCTGTTAAGCTTATGTGCACTTTTATTTGATTAGCATTAATGATAATCTAACAATCTACAAATACGTTTGTTTTCCTCCTTTTCCAGATGCCATAGACCTTGATCTCCAGCTAGAGCAAAACTATTTAGAGTTAGCGGAAGTGCCTAAGAGAAATGTATACCTTGCAGTCATATCAATCCCAGTTTAACTTCTCTACTGACCCTCTAAACATTCGATTGAGCAAGGACAGTATGACCTTCAAAAACTTTATTCTTTCAGGTCACAAAAAGTCATGATGAACTCAACCTTTTATGACTGTTTAAACCCTCAGAGACCTTTACCTTCCACAATGACAACAAACAGAAGTTTATGTATAGAAGTCTCATTTCTTAATTTCCTCACTTGTAGCTGGAAGTGCTTTCTAGTGTTCACTACTGCTTTCTTGTTCCCCAATATAATTAGAGACAAAACAACAGAAACATCAGGAAAAAATAATCTTATTACCAAAGCTGTAAACCAGCAATTATTAAATTGTTCATATTTTTCAGCACACAATTTCTACTGAAGCTATCATTAGTATTTCAGTGAAAATACAGCTAACATTACTAATAAAGCACATTCATGCCACATAAAATAAGTTTGTGCTTCATGCAAGGGATATGCCTTCATTAAAAAGGACTCTCGCACACCTTACTTTCAGGAAACAATCAGATCTTGAAATTCCTAATGTCAAAAGTAATTAGAGACATAATAGCAATTATTACAACTCATTTAAAAACACTTTTCCTTCTCCTAATTTCAAAGAAGCAGAAAGGATGTACTTTGTTCAACTGAAAGCATAGATTTTATTATCTGACACAGCTTGCCAAAACAGCCTGGAAATTCTGCCTTAATTTTTTTCTTTTAGACCACCAAGGCAAAGAAAAGCTACAAAATGCAGTATTAAGCCAAACAGAAACTTACTAATCTTAATTGAACCATAAGTTTTCAGGCAAAACAAAGTTAAAGAAATATATCATTAGTTAGAAAACTGTAGCAAAGTAATATAAGTAGGTTTTTGCTTATTAATTCATCAGTTGTTCTAAAGTCTATATATTCTAAACTGCTTAAAAACTCCAGTACTCTAGACAGTAATTTTATTATTAAACTGTATCTTAAATTATAAACTAAATATAATTCCATATTTATGTACAAGCAAATTCATTTTATCTGTAAGGCTTAGCTTTTCCCTAAGAATATTTCTAACATATTCACAGTATAATATATCACAGAAAATCCATATCTGTCCCACAGATCTTCGGATAGTAGCATTGCAAGAGGGCAATTCATTCTCCTTGATGAGTCTATTCAATTTTATCCAGATGTCCTCCAAATTCTCATTATTACAAATAGATTGTTCAATTGTCCACTTTGCTCTATAAAACGCATGCAGTTTTAGTCTTTCCAAATTGTTTTGCAGTTCTTGAGATAAAGGAAGAATCTTTTCTTTGAGTTTAGCGCTAGGGAGAGAGATACTCCAAGACCTTTTCAACTTTTGTTTTCCTTTAGGTGGTGGTTGTCCTTGATAGTCCAAGTTAACTGGTCTGTGAACAGCTTGTGCTTGGATTAAAGTTGAACCATGTTTCATGCTAGACTGAAAGTCAAGCAGATTCTTTGTGCAGTCGTAATCAGGAGATCCTATAACATATTCTGAAGGTGTAGAAAGATGTTTTAATTCTTCTGCTTCCTCATGAGAAATAACAGGTGCCCGCTTTTTCGGTTTGAGGGGAAGTCTGTATAAATCATTTGGAAACCAGGGTGCAAATCTTGGTAACTGACGAATTGGAAACTCCTTCACTGCTGCTTCTGCAAATTTCTGCAGTTTTATTACATCTCTCTGATGTGGTCGATAATGCAAGACGACTTCCATGCTTGTACCATAGGAATCCAGTGATTCTTAGGAAAACAGTCTTAGGAAAACAGTGTCTTGATTAGGATTCTCAAATCTAGACTGAAACATCTTATTTACTAGAATTTCCTTGCCCTTTCCTTTTCCTTGATGCAAAGATCAGTGGAAAACAGGACCTAAAGTAGAAGTATTATAAAACAATAAGATACTACCATATTAAGACAAACATCGCTAGGACATTTTTCAAAAAAGAATCAGGTAGTAAAAATAAGTGAGATACGCATTAGAACATTCTACTTTATCAGGCTGAACATTAGTGGCTGTATTCCACCACTACCAGTGTAACTTCAGTACACTGAACATTATCCACATGCACACTGTTTATTCAACACAGTCCCTTTGCAAGAGAATTCTTTTTCTGTCACCATCTCACACTTGCCATCCATCACTATTCTTGCTATGTATCTTAAAAGACATACAATTACTACTGCCTATTTTCTCAAATTTAGCCGACAATTTTTTTTTTAATGTGTTTCTCCTACACATCAATATTTTAAGCCAGGGCATATAAAGCAACATGTGTGTTACAAAAACCCTTCCTGAAATAGTACTGACTGATACAGCAGTTTTTAAAGTAAAAAGTGAAAAGGGAAGTGCTCTAGGCAAAGAGAAGTTGCCTGTTTCCATTTCATATCAGAACTACAACATTCAGTTTTAGTCTCACAGCTGCCAAGCAATACATGCAACCTTAATTCAAGGAACTGATAATTGCTTCATCTATCAGACTTTTAGAATAATTAAAAGACTCATTAACTTCTCAAAGGCTTTATACTTTCATAAAAAGAATACATTAAATGTAGGAGCACGGTGGAGGGAAAACCACAAACACTGTTATGAAACATAAGTATAACATGCACTCTATTGCTCTCCTGTTTTCCCACCCTCTTAAGAAGTTTGCAACCATTTCAGGTTCCCTGATCAGTAATATAAAATAATACTAAAATAATAAAATCCAGGATTGCCTAATCATTGCACTGTCAAGATTCTCTTTAGTATATCACAATGCAAAGAAGCCCTCACATCTTTCTCACTTCTTTTGCAAAATCCACAGCCCGGACACTGCACCAAATTCAATACAAGCCCAAGGACTGCACTGGTTTCTTATGACCCATCATAAAACTTTTTGCTTTGAATTAGTTACTATCAAAATGCATTTGTATTGTCAGCTCATGATGTTTCATGTTCTGTGTGTATACACATAAACATATTCGAAAAGGGCTTGTTGAGCTTTGAATTATGGTTAACAGATTTTACTGTGACATGCAGATACCATTACAAACTCCATCCAGGAATGTTTTAAAACTAGAAGATGGGCTCTGAAATGAACTCCACACCTGCACTACTTGATCCATCTGGACATCCTCACTGATCTAGAATGCTTGCAGAATTGAGATTTTAACCAACTGTTTATTGCACCAACATAACTAGCAGCATTTATTACTCAGAAATTATCAAAACCTTCAGAGGGCTCTCTTGTATTAATTTTGTAAGGCATGCAGGAGACATACACAATTTTATTTTCACTATTTGTGATCCCCGAATCAAGAAAGTAGGCCTGGTAGCAATGCATTGAGCACAAGGTGAAAAGGGAAAAATCCACCCAAAGAGGAATCAGAGAACCAATTGGGTTGGAAAAGACTTCTGAGATCATGGAGTCCAACCTATGACTGAACACCACCATGTCAACCAGAGCACGGTACCAAGTGCCACGTCCAGGCCTTTCCTCAAACACTTCCAGGTCGGTGACTCCATCACCTCCCGGGCAGCCCATTACAATATCTAATCCCCCTTTCTGTGAAGAAATCCCTCCTAACGCCCAGTCTAAAACCTCTCCGGCATAGTTTAAGACTACGTCCACTCGTCCTGAAAAACAAGGGGAACTGGAAAGCAAATTTTAACTAAACGTTTTCTCACAACCGAAGCCTTGAGCAAAGCACGGACACGCCGAGCAGCCCCGCAGCCCCCCCCGCCAGGTGCACACCCGTGTGCGGGGTATTTCAGAGTAGCCCCCGCCGCCTCCTTGTGCCCTGGGGCACCACCCACCGCAGGCCCCAGCGCCGGGCCCTGCCCTGATCCACCTCCTGAGACGGAGGGGAGAAACACCCTCGGCTGCGGATCGGACACGCTGTTTCACCACCGGACCAGGGCCGGGCGGGCGCCTGCGGGGCCGCGCTGTCGGTACCTTTCAGAGCCAGCAAGTGCTCCTGCTTGGACTGATTGACGTCCATGGCTTCCACCCGCACTATGGCGGGG